TTAGCTGGTACCCGCGACTTTGTTCGTGTGGAATTTGAAAACACTGCCTTAGTGGGTTTGATTCCGGAGCCGGGCAAAATTCTATAGGGTTTTCCGAAGATAATTTTTTGATACTAGCTGGTACCCGCGACTTCGTTCGCTTGGAATTTGAAAACGCTGCCTTACTGGGTTCGATTCCCGGCCGGGCAAATTTCAATAGGGTTTTCCTGAGATAATTATTTAATACTAAGTTTATTAATACCAAGTTGATAAAAAATGCTATGCAATAGCTTTACCGCGGCAGTCCCCGAGTGCCACACGACTTTTTTTTTTATTTAAGGATCTCCAACAAAGGATGTACACAAAATATATTAAGTATACAGAGAGTTTCATTTCCTTTCCCAAATACTTAAGCCACATATTCTGCCCTTAATTTCTAGGCGATTTGCAAAATATGAACAAAATATATCCAGTAGTTTAGCCACAGGACTCATTTTTGTGTTTCGTATTTTACAACACCATATGATTATTATTATTATATTAATAAGAATTTCTTTAAAGTAAAATCAAACATATTGCAACGGCATACGGAAGATAATACTGTGTCTGACAACAAGGTTCTTACACTTGTGTTGGTCAGTGTCGGCGAAAATAAATTAGAAGCATGTAATTGGTCACTGTGTCATCGGGATCATCGCTACCAACCTATTAGCAGTATGCATCGTAATTGCGCGCTTTTTTTTTACATATTGATTATCAACAAAATATGCTAATAAATAAGTATTTTAATATTATTAGGCTGTGTAAATTATATTGTTTATATTAAATGTTTTATTTACAGTACGTAATGATAACTACAGGTAAACTCATTATAATAATGTTTTTTGAGCTTTGACAATTGGCAGCATTGATTTAATTATTTAATATTCGATGACTTCCGGGTTCTAGAAAGTAGAGTAGCGTCAATCGGTCTGCGGTCAGTTGTTGCAAGACTGTTTGTATTGCAACGAGTCCCGCTAATTTTGTTTTGAAAGTAACAATATTAGTTTTGTTGTGGAGTGTGTGTGTGTGTAGTGTAAACTAGGTTTCTTACTAGTGTTTTAATTATATTGAATTATTAATATTAACATTCATAATGCCGCGAGTGACCTTTACAGCCCCGGAGTATACTGACATGGTCTTAATTTACGGGGAATGCCATCAAAACGCTTTTTTAGCTTTACGGACATACCGTGAGAGATATGGAACCACTCGTGTATGCCCTACAGACAGCCGAATTTTTGTAAGGGCGGTACAAAGATTACGAGACAATCAAAGTTTGGTGCCACGTGATGTTGAGTTTGCTCCCCGAACACCGATCGCCCTTGAAGAACGTGTATTAGACCATTTTACGCGTAACCCTACATGCAGTTTACGTAGGGCTGCTCGTCAATTCAGTGTTCACCACAAAAAGGTCCACGGTATTTTAAAGGCTAATAAACGAAGGCCTTTCAGATTTCGAAAAGTATCGGCTTTATTAAACAGAGATCAACCCATAAGAGTGGCTTACTGTCAGTGGTTATGTACGAAGGTAACGAATGACCCTGAATTTCTATCTAACATCATGTGGACTGACGAGAGTACCTTCACACGTAATGGTATATGGAATCGCCAAAACTTGCGATATTGGGCCGGGGAAAATCCTCATGCTGTACGCGAATCTTCCCACCAGTACCGTTTTTCGTTGAATGTATGGGCAGCAATTCACGGCAATAAGATAATCGGTCCAATTTTCATTAATGGAAATTTGACTGCTATCAGGTTTTTGGAATTGCTTGATGGCCCAGTGTCAGATTATACAGATCAACTGTCTGTAGCTCAAAGCAGGCGTTTGTGGTACCAGCTAGACGGAGCGCCTGCCCATTCAGTGGTGGCTGCCAGGGAGCGTCTTAATCACATGTTTGGTGAACAGTGGATAGGACGCTATGGGCCTACACGATGGCCACCTAGATCACCAGATCTCACGCCCTAGACTTTTTTTTGTGGGGATATGTTAAAAATGAAGTGTACGCAACAGACGTCACTTCAATAGAAGACCTAAGATCGAGGATAATAAGTGCATTTAATAAACTAAAAGCTTTGGCAGCAAATGACAACTTGTGTGCTAGAATACGAGACAACATGATGCGAAGGTGTATTCGATGCATTGATGTGAACGGTAGGCACATTGAAAACCTAAAAATTTAAATTAATTTGATTACTATTGTATGTATGATGTACTAAACTGGTGTACAATAAAGTTTATTCTTATTAAATCAAATTTTAAGTAAAAATTGACCTAGTGAATAAAAACTGTTGCGAGTGGTATTCATATTTTAATAAATTGATTTAGTGATTTTAAATAAAGCGCAAGTGAAGTAACTGATTAGTGATACGAATGTAATATTCGGCTGCTCGATGCGGCGCCTCCGCCGTCGCGTGTCGCCGCGTCGCTAGGCTCATTTTGATGTTGGCGCCATTTTTGCATCGCTGCCGTCGCGTCGTCTACAGGTGAGTGACCCGTGTTATCAATGGTGCTCCAATTCGGCATTATTTTATTGTATTTATTTTGTTCTAAATTTGCATTTCTTTGTTTTTTTTTTTTAATTTTAACTAACTTGTATTGAACTGTGTTATCTGTAATTTAAGTCTTTGGCATAAGTCTGGTAACAGTCTGTATATACCTATAGAGCTGCCGTTTTTAAACCTTGAAGGTTTACCAGAGACGACATTATAAATAGAATAGAAATAGGTATAGAAATAGTAGATATATAGGTATAACTACTATTTGTAAAGGGAACGTAATTCTACAGGTTTAATGGCTTGAACAGTGAAGGGACAATGAACCTTATTGTAATATGGAGTTATGTCAGGCACAAAAGCGAGGAAGGTTATTAGAAATGGGTACTCGGGTACGAGTATCCCGAATGGTTGAAGTATGAACGCTCTTCAGAGCTATAAACAGCACATCTTATTTCTGACAAAGCGAGTTTCACCGTAATTTAAACATGACAACGGCATAGTCTTAAAAGGCATTGAGTTCTTCAAATTAAAGAACAAATCACAATTAGAATATTTGGCTGTATAAAACATATACATAATTATGTACACATAAAGCAAGTATCTTTATATCAAATTTAAGTTTTATAATGACTACTGCTACAGAAGAAGACTTGTCTTTAGCATTCAATTTCAGAAAGAATAAAAAGAACTACCCCATTCAAAGTTTTTTTTACAACAATTTTAAATTTTTAGTAATTGCCATGAATATACTCATTGGAAAACATCTTATTATGTCAAATATATGTTAAAGTTTACTTTCAAGCCAATTGACCTTAATTAATCAACAGGTTTTAAAAATACGGCAGTTACAAAAATTGAGTCCCTTTTTATTAATTTTCAAATCGTCAATCGTTTTTTTAAATCGTTGAGTTCTATAAAACTTGTAGGTATCCAAATAGAAACATTTGACGCCATTCTCTTTTGTTGTCTAACGTGTACATCTCGTGTATGGTGTTATGTTTAACAAAAAATATATTTACAATACATAATTTCTTAAAGAATCTTGATTAATTAATTTTTCAACATATAGTCAACTACCACGGAGGTCGACCAACTCACATGAATAGTTGATATGATAGTTAAGTTTATGCAAATACGTAAAGTTTATGTGAGGTTCGGAGACGTAAATCCGATTATGATGTACCCTCCCGAACCCCCAAAATTAGGACGCCGACAAACACCCGAATTACACGTGATGAAAATTCCTTTTACGAAAATTCGGCATCATTAATATTCAGTTTATTCGTTTAGTTTTATATATTAATATTTACTAAAGTGTACCATAAATAAGATTTTAGATATGAAATAACACAACCAAATCGAAGTTTCTAAACGACTTTAAAAAACGGAGGTTTTCAACTCGCGTTGTATTTTTTATTTGGGCGGGTATAATTCCCGTTTGGTTCCATTCAAATTTCAAATTCTGAGTCAGCCTGTGACCACGGCCTTGCCTTATTTAATTCAAAGCTATGTAATAACTGTTATGTGATCGCTTTATTCTGTATACATAATTATTTTTCATAGAACATGAAAGTTTAAAAGATAGTCTATGCATAAAGTAAATACTATTCTTGAAAAACTCTACTTAAAAAGATACTTATATAAGAGATGTATACGTACTAGTCACCCGTAAAACTAATACTTTCATCCTCCTTATACTGAGAAGCTAGTGAATTATAAAGTTGGTTAAGTAAATAAGTTCTAGGGGTGGCGAAGGAACTTGACAAAGCTTTAGTTCTATACTTCCACCGCGCCGGTCTGTTTCAGTAGTGTCCATAGATTATGTTATCTGCATACATATTTAACTACAGTGGCATGTGGCAACAATCACTTAAACTAAGTATACATACATAAATTATCGGAATTAACTTACTTTGAACATAGATAAGTATCATGTGTTTAATAGTGGAGGTATTTTTATAATACGTTTATAGAAAACGGCTAAAACGGTTTAAATATTATGTAGAAATCTAAATATTTTTGTAGGAGTTAATTAGTAACCAAGTATTGGAATTTGTTGCAATTTCTGTTCTAAGGTTTTTAGTTAAACTGTTAAATTTGTAAAATCGTATCATTAAAACATATTTCAAAGTTATTAAACGCATTGTGTAAGATAAAAATACTGTTATGGTATCTTAATTAGCTGTGGCCGAATATTAAATCAATGATATTTCCCGCTGTGTTATTCTACAAACATTACAATTTAATGAGATAATTTCTTATTTTATTGTATTTGAACTAAACTAAGACTAGTTAAGAATCAAAGTCCTGCTAAAACAGATCAACAAATATAACTTAAGAACCTACATCTGAACACAATTTAGACAAAATCCTCATCTTATCAGACTTATCGAAAAGCCACCTAACTCATTTAAACTTCACTAAATTTGCAAAACAATTTAAAGACGTCGGATTCCGATTTATTAAGTTCTCAAATCACCTCAGTAAGCTCTTCTCAAAGTCGTCCAAGCGACTTTATTTCTCTTCATAAAAGTGTATAAAACATAATAGTATAAACAACCGATGGTGAACACAATTCCTGTGATGATGTAAGACTCGTTAGCTGCTGTCATGATAAAACACGAGCAAAGAAACAGACCCATGATGGTGATGTGGAAGTAGAAATACCAGTAGTGATACTTGATGAGGGGGTGTCTTCGCTTCATAAAGCTGATGATCAGTATTGACGTAGCTACGAATAATTGCACATATAGTAAGCCAAATACGAACTCAACAACAATGCTAGTTGTGTCTTCGACGTGAGGTTCCAACGTGCTGGTCACTGTTATGAGTAATAAAGCAGCAAAGAACACCATAGGTAAAACAGCTGATAGAGCAATCATCAAAAATGTTCGCCGGAGGTGATCACAGTGGGAACACGGTGCATCTTCAGATTCTTCTACAATGATAGTCATTTTGCCAACATATATACTAAGTGTATATATAGCTAGATATAAAAAATATACATCAACAGTTACGATATGTGTATATAGCGAAAATAATATGATATTTATAAAATATTTGATAACCAATATTGTATTAAAGTTGAAAGTAAACTATTATAAGAGTAATAAATCTATGGTCTGACAGACGTCTTAAAGAACAAACAAACAAAAAGTTAGTGTGAAATGAGGCTTCAGGGAAAAGTTAAAACGGGTTAATCAATCTTTTGTGTAGATTTCCAATTATAATAGAATATTTAACAATTCTCTGAACGACCAATTTTCGTGCAAATTTCTCAAAAATTCTTGCACAAATATGTAGCTGCATTATCCCTGAGTGCTCCTATATATATATAGTATAATATAGTATAAATTAACTCCATATTTGCGTATGGAACCGCGGGCGACAGCTAGTATACAATACAGTGTTACCAAGTGATCAATTATCACTAATATGTCAAGTGTGAACAACTTTAAACATTATTTTTTAACATAAGACCGCACCTGCACGTCAGTTTTCTTTTTTGCACACTCAGGATAAAGTTTTAATATAGAACATTTTCAAGTTAGTTTCGATTTTAATATTATCCTAACTTTGCTGTCAAGCTGTCGCCTATCCTAGGACAGCTAAGCGTTTTCGTACTACGATCAATCTTACCACGCATGCATTACGATCCCTGACAGAACATTTATAATGTTACAGCTCACTTCATCAATTTTGCCAGCATATTGCATGTGTTCAGATATATATCTATTAAGACGGTTAGCCTCTTCGATGTGATGACACTGACCTATTTCAAACAAGGTTGTGTAAGTCCTCATTATTTATTTATTTCGTTTAGTTTAAGAGGTTACTCTAGACACCTATTTAAATCACCACCGCACCGCGCTCTGTCGATTTTTAAACGTACGATAGTGTTGTCACTTTTAAGGCTACCAACAAGCCCCTCTTGTGGCTAAGTAGTAACCGAATATGTCAAACAACGTGTTAACCATGTTGCAAAGTTAAGCAATCCTAGGTAGGTAATTTTATGTATAGGTGACCAGGTTAATACATTAAAACGCACCGTGCCTCGGAGAGCACGTTAAGCCGTCGTTCCCAGTTGCCATACGAACATCTGTGACAATAGTTACAGTTAGTTGGAGCCTTAAAAAGTCCAACAACAGTATTTGTACAGAACTTCGATTTCGCCTAGTCTTGGGTTGTGGAGATCTGATGGCAGTCGCTCCGCGTAAAAAAAAACGAACTTCAGGCGTATCGTATCGACTTAAAGCCGACCCAACCTAGTTTGGGAAAAAAGTTCGGAGGAGCATGTTTAAGCGTGAGCTAGTTTAAGCATGACGGGTCAAACAAAAGTACACCAAAATTACACACAGCTATCAAATGTCAGCGTAAAACAGGGACATAGTTGTTTAAGACTTTTTATAGCAAGTAAGTCAATTCGAAAAAAGGACCTGAAAAGAGATGACAAAATTACAATATTTTAATAAATATAAAAGAAATAGTAGTTTAATGAAGTTTCGGTAGTTAAAATTAGGCTACTTTTTGTGAGGTGATCTGACTAGATATATCCATAATGTGAATATTTTCTCTGTAGATTTTAGAACCCTCACTCAAGCACTACTTATAAGAACTGTGGTGAGCTGCGCTCGGTGTCGGACAGAGTCGAAGTTGTTATTACAATTCTCTCTCTCTCTCAAATTAATTCACACAAGCCTTTCGTTCTTATTGTGATAACACAGACAGATTCTGCCCACGGCTTCGCTCGAGTAAATGTCGAGCGAACTCGAGAAATTTGGTCGTGATAAATAGTAGCTTCCAAATCTCATCCAGATGAAGAAAGCCGTTTTGGCGTGATTGAGTGACGTTTTGAAAAGTTAAAAAAATTGTGTCTTATTACTTATTATTATTTTTGATAGAGAATATAATTATACTAAGAGTTTGGAATCGATAAGTTAAAAACAAATAGAGCCCCATACAAATTTCCCTTTTTAAGTGTAATTTTGAAAAATTAGAAACAACGTTTTTATTACTTTTAATAAAGAGTATTTACTGTGAGTTTGAAAACGCTACTACTAAAAATAAAGAAGTTTCATTTAAATTTCAGACCCCTTTGTGTTCGTGTATCTTTAATGGTGGCTTTTTTTGTAATCCTTCCTTAGTGCACACCTTTTTTTTTTTCCGTGCGGAAATCCCCTCGGATACCACCTATCGGTGGCATATCGGACTCGAACCGACTAAAACCGCACGCCGTGTCGGGTACTAATAGCCGGGGAACCAGGTATACCCTAGAAAGTAGGTCCCTGGTGCCCCGACATACCTCGGGCCATCTACAGACGAGTAGACGACCCCCCCCCCGGGTGGGAACTCCTTAGTGCACACCTATGTTACCTAAGGAACATTTGTGCAAAATTTCATGCTTCTAGACCCAGAAGTTTCAGCTATGCGTTGATCGATCAGTCAGTGAATTAGTCGTGTCAGTTTCTTCTTTTATAGATGTATATTAACTATACAGCTTATATAATAAATAAAATCTATATATTACACTGAGTTTAACAATAGTTACTCACCACGCGTTAAGTAAATAAATGAATTATTGGATGTTGAAAATAACTCTACTCGTTTAAGCAATACTTACAAAGCTGGCCTTTATAAGTTCAATAAAATCTTAAATTGCTTTGACCGTTTTACTACTTGGAGTAACATACCTGAAACAAAATAAATAAAAATCATTAAACACAAATATTCTAAGAACATTATCAAAGTAAATATTTTTAATGAAAGGGATTGGAACCACCTAAATGAAAACCTCATTAAAAAGATAAATAAGGGACGTTCATGTTGACGGCTACAGAAACAAAAAGAGGCGGCCCATTCCGTTCTATTCATCATCATCACCAGCCCTAGGGAGCTTTATCTTTGCCACAGCGCTGTGTATGGATTTTTTATGCCTACATTATTCGTGAAGCAATCGAGTCTAGGACAGTGTTGCCCATTCATTAACATCTTAGGACCTTTTTAAAAAACATCATTATATATAGACACCCATAACACATTACACATAAAAGTACCTAACTAATGAATATCGTGAAGATTACATTTGACTTTCTTGATAGCGTCACTTCTCACACTTCTTGTCACGTGTGACTTAGATAGTTGGTCTGCTTTTCTATCGCACGGCTAGCAGAACGGCCGAATGTGTATTTTATCCTTAATCTGTTTTGGTGATATCTCATGTACTTACCAAAATGTTTGTATTTAAAATAAAGGTACTCGTAGATTCATGACTGAAATATAATATAAGTATATTTTCGTAAGTGACTTAAAGGCATTAAAAAAATTATAATTCTTATAATTAAATATTATTATTCTTAAACACGACAACTGTTAAGTCACATTGCGAATTATAAAGAAAATAAATCAGAGTTTCTTGAAACCATATTAACTTAACTACCTATTTTAAGCGCCTTTGAAATAACAACTTTGTTTCAACAGAGTAACGACTTAAGTTTCATTGCTGTTCGTTTAGAGTACACTATCAATCTCGATGTTATCTAAATCACTCTAAGGTTAAGGGGGGATGGAGATTACCATCCCGTACATTAAACCCTCGCTCTACAGCTAAAAAATATGGTTATTGGATACAAAAAATACGGCTGCGAGATGATTTATGATTTGGAGAATGTTATCCTCGTTATGATAATGGAAATAATATAAGCCTATATTGCATTCATGGCCAAAATTTATATGTAACAGATATAGACATTTAGTGAATTGAAAAAGAAGTCACAGCAGCAGGTATATAACGGAGAATAGTTCTATACCTCAGGTTGTGAGAGCTTTATAGCTCCATAGAGCAGGGCTTGCCTGGCTTTATGTTCGTACAACTTTCGTGGGAAGTTGATATAATTACCAGTCGCTGCTTGCTGCAAGGCATGCAGTGCAACATAAAATAGTGAGAATTGTGAGAAATAAAAAAAAAATAGTTTAAGTTCGACTATTGACAAAACTAGACATTAGACTGCACGGATACCGCTTCCTATTTCGCTAAGTGTTGTGGGTTCGATCCCCACATGGGACACCACTTTTTGTGATCCACAAATTGTTGTTCTGCGTCTGGGTGATCCTTTAGTCTGTTTCATGTATGTTTGTAAAGTCTATCTAACTTTCATAATGCAAGCTCTGATTAGTTAGAAAATAGATGGCGTTATGGGTCAGATGTCCAAAATACTTATATAAATTTAGATGCCATTGAGTATGTGTGGAGCTAAGAACTAGAAAAAGGTGGAAATAATAATAAAAAAAGGAACTAATCTGTGAATTAAGTTATCATCTGCGGTATTTCCGGACCGATACGACCTTCAAACCTTTTAGAAAAAAGCGTACCTCTTTCCAAAAGGTAGAAGTAGCAGGCGATGGTATTCACTTTCCATCATCTGCCTCCTCTTACATTAAAAAAAATGTAACTCTTGACGGAAAGTGGCATTAGACCCCGGCTATACTCTCTGGAATCTATAGAAAATTAATTTTCGTTTCATACTTTTTAGAGTGCGATTGGTGAGGTACAAAAAGCATACGCGTTATAAGCTTCGATTGGCCAAGTTATAAGTACACAGCTTACCAGATGGTGAGCGATTAGCAATGCCTATAAACATTTAATGACTGTATTAGAATTCTAATCATGCTTATGAAAACATTTATGATTTAGAGTTCGGATTGTAAAGAGCGGTTTATAGCTGTGACTTTAAATTTTACTGCTTTCAATACGCATGGTGACATAAAATCGTGAAGGGTGAAGGAACGTGACTGAAGTCTTCTTGCCGAGTAATGTATAAACGTATTTTGCGTTCTTACTATTTATTGCCGTTGTTTTAATGGCAGGCGCTTTGATTTATTTATTTTACTTGGTACTATGAAAGACGATAAAGTCGAGGTTTATTGGCAGGTGAAAGGATCTGAGAGGCATATTATT